GCCACGGGGCAGCAAGGGGTAGAAGATGGCAGAACTTCTTCCATGTTCCCTAATAACTCATTGGGTGCCAAGTCTGGATCACACAGATGGCTACCCCCGGAGTGGGTTCTTCTGAGATACGCTAGGCAACTATAACAGGATCGCTCTACTTTACACATTGGATACCTTTATTTGGTGCCGTTTTCATCAATGCTCTGGGATAAGGCTGAGGCCGCCTTGGGGGAATAATCAATTTTAAGGTGAGTCTCCACTCTCAGAGATGTACACCATGTACACTTGCAGAATAGCTATTCTCCAGTTGACTCTCAGGTCCCCACGCCTAAGTGCAACTTCACTGTTGTCTTGCAATTAGGGACACACTGAGCCCATGTCCACATCCACCTGTCCAGAATTTTCCACTACCTCTCTCAGTAGCAGAACAGGGCCCTGTTGTGAACCTAGTACAGACTCTGTATGTGCACTTAACTCTTGAATTTCCGTACCTTTACACAGGATGGGGACGTGAGTGTTGCCAATCCGTTAACTTGCTATGGGAGACAAACCGCTGGTAGAAGGAGTGCTGACAACATCTCCCTCTCTGCTAGAGTCTGTCCCACCTGTAACAGGTACATGCTAACAACAGGCTGCTTGATTGACTGTTGTCTTCCATTACTCTCAGTAAGCACTTGACTAACTTTACACCATAATGACTCTTAGTGCTGTCTCTTCATACCCCAATGTGTCCAGTGACCCAAGCTGTAGACTAAGAAAAGTGCAAAACATGACAAAGTCCACATGCATGAAAACAGTCGTTCCCTGCGTCCTTAAACCATGCCTCAGGCTTGTGTGCTGCCCTACCATACCTGCAAAAGGTAGAGTCCATCATTGATCAAGCCCATGGGTATTGGCAGTGTTCAGCAGCTGGTGTCTTTGGAGTGAACCTCCAGATTTCTACATCACAGCAGCAAGGTGTAAGGCAGGAGCCCTCAGGCTCTGGACCACTGTCCCTTTTATACCTCCAGGATCAGTGGGTAGGACCCAGAAAGCTCACTTAAGAGAAAAACCTGGAACTAAGTAAACTCTAACCCTCTCTTCTGGGGCAGCACCTAGCTAGCTAAATTGCAACCCACTTACATGCAGGCCACCACGCAAATGATGGACTGCCTAAAAGTTAAGTATGAGCGCTTGTTCATTTTTATTAAGAGAAACAAAATTATTGAATGTTTCTAAAAATAACATTTACATGAATATCACCACATTATAGCTAACAGCATAGATACTTATAATTTAAAAAGCAGCACACAAAGGTGTCCGTTTATGAACCAGCGGTAATAGATCACTGCTCAGTTCTCCAGCATTCTCGGAGAACACAGTTCTCCTGTGAATGTCTTTTATGAAGCAGTTCTCCAAACGAAGGAAGAACGGTCTCCAAATGCTGGAGAATGGTCTACAAACGCTGGAAAACGGCTGATTTTACTATAATCTCACAAGATTACAGTAAAAGATCAATTTACTAAGCAGAGGTAAATTATCGCTGCTTAGTTTGTGGTCCCTCCGATTCTCCAGCTCTGGGCTGGAGAATCTGGAGTGAGAACACAGATTGCCAGTGAAAAGGGCTGAACATGTTCTCCGCTGATCTCCTGAGTGTCATAAACTGTGAATGACCAGAGAATAGCTGCGATCCTCTGAATCGCAGCTATTCTCTATGTCATAAACGGACACCAAAGTACTCACAGGGTGTGATACAGTAGTGGTTTTGGCAAAAGTAGTTATTGTCAATGACAGTTTCCCAACAGTAGAGGTCAATGAAAGAAAACACAAGGAAGGGAAGGGTATATAGGCAATAGGTATAGGTACAAAAGGTGTCTTGCTGTGGGGACATAGTGAGGGTTGTGGAAGAGATAAGGGGTGGGAAAGGAGAAGGGATATGTGATGGAAAGGGGGAAGAAAGAAAGGAAAGGCTACAGGGGGAAAGGTGTGATGTGGCTCAAGGGTTTAGGTGGAAATAATGCATTATAGACCAAATTTTGTCATACTAAGCAGGGCAGCCTCTACTCATTTATGTCAGTTGGTACATTGCTGGCACAATTTAAATAACTGATCACCAGTCACTTTAGGACATGGGGAAGGAAGTCTCCACTTGTAAATATCTCCCATCTAACATAGTAGGACGTGTATATATACCCTTCTATTTTAGCAGACCCAACACAATTTTTACATTCTATAGAGAAATCTTCTTCTCTTTGGCTGTGCCTGTGCAGTTGATCACCATGGACTTCAACTGGACTATCCTTTGAGCCTGGAAACTTTCAGGATACTTTAGGTGAAGGGGGCTAGACAGTTGATCACCATGAACTTCAACAGGTCTGTCATCTGAGGTTGGAACCTCTTGGGATACTTTGAAGTTTATTTACTAAAGCTGGAGAGTGCAAAATCAGATTCACTTCTGCATAAAAACCAATCAGCTCCCAGGTTTTATTGCCAAAGCTTAACTGAACAAGTTGAAGTTAGAAGCTGATTGGCTAACATGCACAGATGCACCAGATTCTGAGTGCCCCAGTTTTAGTAAATCTCCCCCTTTGAGTCAAAGTGGCTAGACAGGAAAAAGTGTAAAATATTCCTGGCCAACCAGTAGGAGTTTTCTTGCCTCCGATGCATTGGTGCATACGGTGAGAGGGTATTATTCAGGGTGGGACCTAGGGAAGTCAGTATATTCTTCCCTGGGCCTCCTGCCTGAGAGAGGGGTGTGTCATGCTGCTGAAGTCTTTTAGGCCTGCTGAAGTCTCTCTCTGAAGCTTTCTGTGCGAGCAATAAAATCCTTTTTGTTTGGTATCTTAAAGTGACTGGCGCCCAACTGTTCACATCCGACTATGGCCTAAGTAATCTGCGCCGTGGTGAAATGTCAGTCCACCCTGGCTTTGGGAGATATTGCCATGCTTCCGGAGGTCAGAAGTTGTAAACCCTCACATTGTAAAACAACCCATTCAGTTTGAAATATCAGTGAAAGGCAAATTGTTTGTGTATGTCCATATATTAAAAAACATTATAAATATGTTGTTTTTCTTTTCTTATAAACGCTCGCATAATCTCTGTTTTCATGTGCATAAAAAGCTTAGAGAGGTGGGGGTGGAGGAACAGCAGTACACTGATCTTCCCAGTGAATGGCTGTGAAGGGGAGTGTGTTAGCACAAATCTTGGCCACTGGAGGACTATAGGCTGTTCTCCCAGCACAGCCAGAAAACTGGCTATTCTGCGACTGATATCATGCCTAGCACAGTCAATGTGAAATAGGAAAGAAAGGGGACTGGCGGGATCACCAGGTATTTCACATATCAGGAATATCAAATGTTGTGGTAACATAGTGTTTGGGCTCCTCTAGGCAGGAACAGATGTGAATGGTACTATGTAGTCTTTAAGCCCTTTGTAATATGTCAGCACTATAGAAACATAGAAAGAAACACTAGAAATCATTGTTATAGCCTAGAACCAAATGGATCGCAATGGAGGAAAATACTTGAGCTGACTGTGTTTCATGCTAATGGTGTTTACTTAATTAAAAGCAAAATAAATTCCTTATTGTAAAACAAGCAGATGCATGCTCATTTGCAGATAAAAATTAACATAACTCATAAGAAATACTGTATCCCTCCATAGAATACATTATTAGGTTATTATCACTCATTTGACTAATCACTTGTAGTGCTGCCAATATCTCTCTTATGCTGGCATATTGTAAAAGCAATATTTCAGAATTAGATGCCTTTTTCGGACCGTGGTGGTGTTTCCTCCCCAGCCGGTAACCTTACGTGACCTTGCACCAGCCCAGTGTTTCAGTATGGCAAGCAAGCTGTCCCACAGTGTGTGGCTGGGTCTTGCTGGGATGTGATGGCAAGTGCTTCTTTGCAGGTTCACACAGAGAGGCATTCTTTTTAACAGGAAAATAGTTGGGCCCTATATTCTTTGCCAAGCCAGCACTTCAATGTGTTGTGCCATTGTAATGCTTGAGAGCATCTCTTGAAGCTTGGACCATGGGGTGCCCAGAATGCCAGTTAATCAGCTGAATCCTGGCTTGTTCTGAAATGTGAGAGTTATTTAATTAGGCATGCTCACATATACAGAGGGATATTCAGTAGGGCAGTGCAAGAAACAATGACCAAATTACCATGTGCAAGGTGCAGTTAAAGCTGAAGTTCACGTCTGCTTATATTTTGCCTTCCCTGGCTTTGTTCACAACTTGGATCACTAGTAGCATTGATGTGTTCTGAGACAAGGATGGTGGAGTGTTAACATGAAAACCTGTACTGACCTCATTGGAAGCTTGAGTGAAGAGTTGGGTAGCGCAAGATAAAGTGAAAAAAATTGTAATAACTTGATTTATTACATCATATTTCTCCAATGTATTTGTTTTGAAACTCTTAACTGTGTTGTGTTCTGGGTAAGGAGCCAGGCCCTGCATACTGCCGACTTCACCTTAGCATTGAGACAATGCCCACGTTTTAAGATGGGTGTATCTCACTACCTTGAAAGGTAGTAGGGGATACTGTCCACAGGTAATTGCTATAGCAGAATTTGGAATCCTAACCAAGGATACATCATTTGCTGGATTTATTGCTTTGCTATCCTGATCTTGCCTACTGCCTGCCATGCACATCCATGTCGTTAAATATAGGTACTATGGGGGAGATTTACTAAAACTGGTGCAGTCAGAATCTGGTGCAGCGGTGCATGGTAGCCAATCAGCCTCTAAATTCAGCTTGTTCATTTAAGCTTTGGCAATAAAATCAGGAAGCTGATTGGTTTCTGTGCAGAGTTGCATCAGATTTTGCACTCTCCAACTTTAGTAAATAACCCCCACATTTGAATACCACCTGTATCTATACTATTTTTGTCAGCTGGATTGTTTTCAATATTGAAATAGTAATTTATTTTGGGGTATTACCATCTTTAGCATGCCCATATATACTCCCCACATTTAGAACTGGTCTATACTATGCAGTGTCATAAGAGTATTTAAAGTGTTACTAAACCCACAACAGTAAAATCAGTCTGTATATGCAGTAAAGCATGCTTGTCATACTCACTGTGGAACCTAAGGGGTTAATACTCTGGATTGCGTAAAAAGGCTGTCTGATCCTCAGCCCCGGGCCAATCAGCACTGTCCAGACAGAGGGGCAGGGGTTTCACATCCTCCTAGAGCAGAAAGAAAACTTCCTACAGTGCTCTGCTGAAGTCACAAGACTGCTCTAACTGCTGATGAGAAAAGGTATTTAGAAGTTTATATTTACTAAAATAATTGCATTTCCATGTTATGTGTATTGTGGGAGAGCAGATATATTGAATTCAGGGTCCGGGAAGACCAGATATATTGAATTCAGGGTCTGGGGAGACCAGATATAGTGAATGCAGGGTCATGGGAGACCAGATATAGTGAATGCAGGGTCCGGGGAGACCAGATATAGTGAATGCAGGGTCCTGGGTTTATTATTACTTTAATCCTTGTGTGGCTATTCAAGTGGGGGGCATTGTATATTAATTTCTATAGCAAGATATTTGAGCCAATGGCCACAGGGTATGTTTGTGGAGCTCCCGACTGGTGGTTAATAACTCAGCTCCAATGTAGAGGTCCTAGAAACTCAAGGCTCGTTCTCTGGCTCCAAGCCTGAGGCCCACTAAGTCTAAGTCAGGGGGCTAACACTTTAAATTGTCGGGATCCTGTTCCTGTGGCTCCAGGTCAGGTCCGTTGGAGCCAGGCCAAATACACAGGTTTCCCAAAGTGTGGCACAGAGAAAGGATCTGTCATTGCTGCAGGGCAAGCCAGCCTATCTTTGCTCAATCAGCACCAGTTCTCCTACTGAGGGCATTCTGTACATTTACTACTTGTTCCCCCTTTATAGGCCACCATTCAGATGGAAAAAAAGAGACTTTGTCACTTCCTCCAAGAAGTTCTTTTTTGCTTGTGCAACTGTCAACATTACAGTCTGAGCGAACTAATGGCGCTATATAAATACTGTATAATATTAATAAATAATAAAAACAGTCCATTTGAATATGGCAATACATGGTGGTTTTCAGCATTATGTGCATCAGTTCATTCGGCATGGCCACATCTTCTATGGCTACTCCCTACACAGGCCACACAGGACAGGGGTTCCACACTGTGCACTCACAGCACATATTGTATATACCATTTGGGAAGTGTTCCTTGCCTCAGCGGCTGTTCTTTTGGTTTCAACTATGTTTTTGACTTGAGGCTACAGCACTTGTAATACATACAGTACGTATGCTAATTAATGCACGGGCCAGACTATTCCTCTCCAGTCCCCACCAATGTTTCCAAATAAGAAAAGTATTTGCAAAGCATTGTAAAACCAAGTAATAGTATGCAGCTTAAAGATCTGACAAGCTCACAGGTGTTTACTGGGTGCAAATCAATGGCTGGTACTGGGACTGATAACATGTAACTGCTGACACAAGTGGTTAGGAGGCCCAACTTATGATCTTGCAGATAGGCCTAATGCATTTAGAAAATGCCCCAGTCATGGGCAAAGTACAGGTCTTCTTTAGGGATTGTACTGCCTCTGAAAATTTTATACTATACTGGTTGGGCAAACGGAAGGATATAGAGTGTTTGCAGATTTTTTTTTTTGCACTGGAGAAGAAGGTCAGACATATAAAATACATCTGATAAAATCTTTTGCCACTGTCGCGCTGAATGTATAACTGAATGTATTTATTGATCTATTAAACTTTTGTCTTATAAAACTTTAGAAAGAAAACCCTCGAGAAATATAAACTAAATCATTTATCTTGCGATCAATATTTTTGGAAGTTTTGGGAAGTTGCTGTACAAAGTCAGCAATACACAGCAGAATTTACAAGCTTCTAAACCCTACGGAAAGTCTTAATTTCATTTATTTCATAATTTTACTTTAAGGCAAGTATTGTGCATATTTGGTGAGTGCTACTTATGGTTTCTTAGTGTAAACTTTACCTAAAAGTTTTTTTTATTAAGTACATGCTTACTGTAGCATTTTCATATGCTACAGTATAATATTTCATTTAAAGCTCCATAATTGTGCCAACTAGTGCGTATCTGCAACACAAATACAGCAATTAGCATATTTAATATCCCTTTGTAGTTGTAAAAATATTGAAACATAGACCAGTGGTTTATCAAGTCTGCACGTTTTATTTTTTTTTTGCTTTTTTTGTCAGACCCATTACCTGCTGTAAGTCTGTTCCAAACACCAAGTACTCTTTGGTAAAATAATACTTTGTTAGATTAGTTTTGAACTTCCCTCCTGCTAGTTTGAAGTCATGTCTCTATGTTCATGATCTTTTATTTATATTGAAAATACTGGCTTCTTGAACTTTATTTACATCCTTAATGTATTTAAAGGTTTAAAAAAATTCCCTCCTTTACCTTCTTTCTTCAAGATTGTACATAGTAAGTGTTTGCAGCCTCTTGTTATATGTTTCATCTCTCAGGATTGTCACCATTTTTGTTTGCCTTGGAGCAAAAAATGCACTTCCTGTAGTGTTTGGCAGGCAGTATCAGTACCGCTTGTGACCCATTCAAGTGAAGGAAGCCCTGTGGCAACCACCCAACAGATATGTGCAATGCACATGGTTGCATCACAGTGATACAGGCTTTTAGTTTTAAAACAGATGGTGAGGAGGCGACATAACACCTCCCTACTGCCTGTCAAATATCCTATAAAAAGCACTCACCTGCGGATCACTCTTCAGAAAGCTAATGCTAGTGCAAATGGTAGAAAGATAAACTCCTTCCTTATCCCTCAGAAGGCAATCAGATATTCCCAGGATCAACAATCCCTGGTGTTATTACCGTTACATGTTAATATCCAATTACATTTTGTGCATTTGAGAATACTGCTAGATCCTTTTTTAAACAATCCTCTTAGCTGGCCAGAACTAGCTCTTGAGGGAATCTATTCCAAATTTTCACAGCTCTTGCTGTGAAGAAGCCTTTCCAAATGTGGAGGTTAAAACTCATTTTCCAGATGTAAAGAGTGCCCCCTTGTCCTCTGTAATGACCTAAAAGTGAATGACTCAACACCAAGTTCACTATATGGACCAACTATATATTTATACATGGTAATCATATCCCTACTTAATCACCTCTTTTCAAGAGAGAATAAATTCAGTTCAGCTAAACTTTACTAATAGCTGAGCTGCTCTATGCCTCTTATTGGTTGCCCTTCTCTGCACTTTCTCCAGTTTTCCAATACCCTTTTTGTGAAATGGTGCCTAAAACCGAACTGCATATTCTAGATGAGGTGTTACTGATGCTTTGTATGCTCCCATAGACCTTATGAAGCACTTTCTGGATTCTTGCTGTAGTGGGTTGCAGAGAACTCATATCAATTCTAAAGAACTTTCTAATTTAAGACCAGATGGATTGTCTTAGTTGCTCAATAATTTACATAAAACTTTGATAAAGGGATCCACAGTGGACTGAAAACTTTGTGCAAGTTGTGCTATAATAAAACTGGGCCAATGAATGTCTGATTGCATCCATTTGGCAGAGCAAGCTATTTTATGGATGATCCTACTGGAGCTCTTACTCCCGAAGGGGCCTCTGAGAATATACCCAGGTCTCCCTTACTAGTAAAGAGGTTGCCATCTATCAGCACGTTTCCATGAACACAGACAATACAGACTCAGTCTAGGGGATGTCTTTTTAGAATTCATTGCTGAAGAACTTGAACAGGATCAGGGTTTAGGGTCACATAATACTTCAAAAAGATAATAGCAATCAATGCGAGGACAAACAGTCCCAAGTCAGGTCATATTCACAATGTCTTAGGCACTGTCTGTCACCTAACATGCATAGGCAGATCCTCAAGGATGGTGATAAAAATCCTTCTCCAGACCATGACTTCAGGACAGTGTCCTCCAGCAAAAGTCCATTAACAATCTGCTCCAGGTCCTCAGCCCAGCTTCTGCTGAGGCCCAGACTGCAATCTCTTGTCTCAGTAGCTATTTCCTAGGGGTGGCAGCCCCAGCAGAACTGGAACCCTCCCTGAAGAGGAAAGAACACTCTGGTTTCCCAAACATGTATCAATCTCCAGCCACCTACTGGACCCGTTTTTCCAGGGATTGATAAATATTCATGCTGGCCATTTGACTCACTCTCCCTGCTCTATATTTTGGAAACTTCTTCCAGAAGCAGGTGGTAGAAATTAGACACCCAGCCTGGAAACCCTGGCAAGGCAAAAAAAAATCAACTGCTGCTTCATTGACTGCAGTCAAACCAAAAACTAATTTTATCCGAACGGCCTAACTAGAGGAGGGCGCTACACCACTTTATTCTCCCCATTCATAACTGAACAAAAACGTTCATGTACACATATCCTAACACCTCTATCTGCTGTAATGCAATTCCTGAACATCATCAAGTTTAGTTATTGAGCGAACAGCTTAAGAATTAATGTGTCAAAAACATTTTTTTTCTTTTCCACTGACCTTGTTTTTTTGCATCTCAATTAAATATGTATATATATATATGCTTCTGGCAGAAAACACCATTTGTTGCAGCTGATTCAGTGCTTTTCCTTGTCTTATGCCAGGAGAAGATATCAGACGTATTGGAATACTAACACAAGTATGCCTACAGCCTTCCAGTCATAATTAGCATGTAGTCTGAAGTGGAAAATGTACCCTACTTATAAGCAGCATTTCATTCCACTTACACTTTTGATGTGTTAAACAGCACCTGTGCTTAAGTAGCAAACATAATGCTGTGGAGGGGGTGTGTATTTGAAAAGCATCACGTTTAAAAATAATCAACGATTGGTTGGGGGTGATAATAAAAACTCCATCCCACCTTCACACCTTTAACTAATCTAAAAGTTGTATAATGATAAAAAAAGAAACCTAACTAAAAGCCCTACTTTGTTACCTGTATCTAAGACCACATTACTTTCCAGGTTTTCATCTGGAATGCAGTGATGGAGGGTCCTTCTTCTATTACCCAATACGCTCCCTGGTGAACACTCTCCATTGGCTGACAAACATGTCCAGTGGTGGGGTGCTCAGAGGGCCCTAAAGTCTTCTAGTGGCAGT